GTATCTGAACTTGAACTTGCTTTGCTTAGGAAAACTAAGAAAATTTTCTTTATTTTCAAACTAGAGCGCGCTATAGCACTTATTTTCATTTCAAACATTAGAACAACTTCTTTTCTATTGTGTCATACCTGCCACATAACTTAATTGCAAAGAAATAGATGAAGTCTACCTCATACAAATATACCCCGTATTTGTAAAAGAAACGTTGCTTTTGTTTTATTAGTACATCCCAGAAGTACTTCTGAGCACGTATTTGAAAATAGTAAACATTTTTACGTCTATCTCATAGTTTTTTCGTATAAAAAAAAATGAGATACACATTTTTTCGGTGGTAGTACTCCGAAAACCAAACAAGGAGTAAAAATTCCACTACACATCAAAATTGATTTCATTCATGAAACAATGGTTTTATCACTTTGCACGCACGGCTTGGCTTAGTGGTTATGCTATTCGTCGCGTACTTCAAATGTAAAGTATTCGAACGTCGGCGCCGCTCGGTCATGTGATAATCTTGGACAAGTTACTCATGTCATAGTGTCTCAGATCACTCGTGCAACAGTATACGCTACATCGCTACGTGTGACGTACAATACAGCTCTTTTGCCTAGTTCAACAAGCTTTTTGGAAAGCTAATAGATGGTTAGTAAACGTATATGAAGAGCTCACGTAATTGGGCGAAAAATCCCTGCGGCAGGCTAGCTTGTCGAGAGCAGTGGTTGGTGACTAGTAATAAGATAGGTGACCGCGTGAGAAGTACGTAAACTGTAGGGAAGATATCGGGCTATTGAAGCTGTCATTTGCGGCAGCACCCTGTACCAGAAATGGTAGCCACATGGTAGGACATTCTTCACATTGAACGTGGTATTCGTAATCAGCGCGCCGATTACCTATAGTCTACTAGATTTTGGAAAAATCTGTGACAAAAAATTTTTCCAAAAAGCGCAAGTCAATTTTGGAAAATTAAATGGGCAGTTTTGTTCAGAATTTGACGCTGATCATGACGATATAATATTTTTTCGAAAATTGTTGGGAGTCGAAACATACGCTTATCCAGCCTCGTCGTTTGGTCACAGGAATCACCCATCATTAGCACCCATCTATTACAATAAACTTCTTTTGGTGGACTTTTGAACATTAGCTGTGGGTTCAACTTGAAGAAGTTTTTTCACAAGAAAGAAGGAGAGGTTTAAACTTTCATCCCAGAGTTCAGTTTCTTCTACTGGATCTTTTTCTCAAGACACGAGCAGTTGAGCGATTTTAAGATTTGTTTGCACTAATACGGATCGATTTCAATCAGAAATGCACAGCATGTCTGATCATAGGATGAGATAATACGAGGATTGTGAGAATATCAGTACAGTGTATTCTCAAAAAGAGACTACTTTTTTAAACTTACTGGACTTACTGGGCTTGGTATATTCTTAGTGACAATACACGACAATACACAAATGTTGTATAGTGCCTCACTCTCATGCTGCACCTTCAAATTTTTGTTCTTCATATGTTTCAAATTTATTTAGTTCTTTGTAACAGTTTCGACTTCAGTGAAACCTGTTCGAAAGAATATAATACGTGATTCATTGAATCAAATTGAAATAAAATGAGTTTCTACCGTTCTTGAAAATTATTTTTGTCAGACTTTGTGAAAACTATTATTTTAGTTCACCGAAAAGAAATTTTAAGGAAGTGAGCACGTGGCCTGTTTGCTCATCCTCTGGCTACGACCCTGCAAGGACTAATTTATACGAAGGCATATGTCAAGATTTTATTCGAAAGACGTATCTTCTTATTTGCTAGTTCTCCGTTTTTTCTTTTTTGTTACTCTTCTTTTCTTTACACCACGCGGCATATTTGTTCGTTGTTCTTGTTTATATCCCGACTTTCATATAGTTTTCTGTCGTACTTTTGCACATAAACGATAACAGATTTCACTTGACGGTGAAATGGCAGGTATGGTTTAAAAGAATGAGAAAAAAATCTGTAGCGTGCATTCGTGTTATGAAACATTACTATCTGCTCTTGAATGAAGAATAGTAATTTTTTGCGTGACAAATGTCAACATGAAAAATTCTACTATGTTCTACTATTCTTGACGTGAAAGACACATGTTGGCAACTGTTTCACAGTTCTTATGCAGTAATGTATTCTTTTTCTACTTATTTTTATAGACACAGGATTCTCTTTAGTAAAAATAACCTTATTTCGATAGATTGATTACTAGGAAAGGAGGTTTTAACCCAAGGGGGAAACAGCAGATTTTGTGACTTTTTTAATATAGGCTCCGCTTCACAGGCAATCAATTTTTCTCAATGAGACCAAAGAATTTTCCTTATTGTTTCTGAATTTTCCCGCGTTTCTCCGCTTAGCTCCATTTTCAGGCATTTTTGCAGATTTTCGGGATAAGATACATCTAGACCTGTGGTTCGCGCCGACGGATGAGTAAGATTTTCGCCACCGCCGAAGGCGTCCAAGTTTTGTGAACGCCCTAGCCTTAAAAGTTTGTTTTAGCCTCCGCCGATAGAAAAGGTTTTGATTGATTGGTTGATTGATTTATATTTTAGTAGCCCCAAGTAGATGATAGATAGTGAAAAAAAGGAACACAAATATACATCTATTACATAAACAAAAACACGCTACTGGAAAGGCAAAAAAAGTTCTGAGAACCTATAAACTTTGCCACCTTGTTTTAAAACGATTAAAGCTCAAGATAGTTCTTCAGCTTTGTTTTAAACGATTTTGTTGTGAGTGATGTAACAACAGCTTCGGGTAGGGTTAAATTCCAGTCTCGGGCGGTTTGGCAGATAAATGATTGTAGAACGGTTTCTGTTCTAGCAAAGGGAATTTCTACTTTTCTCGGATGATTAAGACGGCTTGATCTTCTAGATTGATCATATTGGATAAGGTTCAGTCTAGATAGAGGAGAGAGGCCGTTAAGGATTTTGTAAAAGTATATAAGACGAAAGTATTTTCGTCTTACTTCAAGTAGAGGTAGATTCAATCTTCTAACTAAATTCTGGCCGGGAGTGGAAAAGTTTCGAGTAACCATATGGGCTGCTAGACGTTGGACGGACTCGAGACGAGACACCTGAGTGGTGAAAGTGGTGTCATACAAGGCACAGGCATTTTACACAGTTTTGTGTAAAATTGATAAAACTGACAATGGATCTTGGCTTAAACTAAAGTTTTTGTACTTAAATTTGGTTGTGGTTGATCTGAATCAAGCTTAAGTAATGTATCTGAACTTGATGTTCTTGAAAATTGTTGATCAACAATTTTCAAACAGAATCTTTAAAGAATCTTTGCAGATTTTCACTTTCTACAAGACGTGCGGCACGGAGTCCGCATGATCTACGAATCATTCTCCGTACTCCCCAGAAAACGTGAAATTCCTGGGTCATCACAAAGAATCACCAAGGAATCCCTAAACGGACTCCATGAGGAATCCTTGTGGACTCACTAAGGGTTTTTGAGGGAAAAGTCGACTGAAGCGAAGGTGAACCTTACTTGTTATTAGGGATAAAACCAATCGGTTCAAAACCTCATCGGTTGATGTTCTGAACTGTCAACGGTATTTGATCTCTTGAAATCCACTGATCTGAGATTCTTAAATGAGTGAAATCCACATTTTTCTTGTTAAATCTTTGATTTGGGTGATGATCCCTTATCTATCAAAAATGTTTGCGAAATTTACCTGTTTTTCCGTTTCTCTGGTCGTTCTTTGCCTCTTTTGTTCAAATCTTCTTTTTTTTAAACTTTAACTCTCATCCTTCCAGTCCAATAGCACTGAAATCGGGTTACCCTATTGCATTTTGTATTGTTACACCTACTACTTCGTATATAGTACTATATCATTAAGTACAGAAACACCCTATGCATGCTCTTTAGAGAAGCACAATCATTTTGATGAACGGTAAATTGGAAATTTTAAACAAGAAAGCAGAATATGATCATAACAAGTCTTGATCAAATTCCAACGAAAATTGGCCAAAAATCTACATTCTAGTGGAATTTGGCCATTTTGCCAATTTCACATAAAAAGACCACATCTGTTGTGAATGATCTGACACTATAAATACGCATAACGATGTAGCTATTGCACAAAAATGAGCTGCCATGCTGTCTCCTGCTACAACGTCTGCACAAAATAGCTTCACATCGTTGTACATCGTATTCACTATGACTGCTACTACACATATTTGTAGTCTCTTCCTTCACTTGCAACTGCAGCGAACACATTAAAGTCTAATTCGTATGAATTTACATTTGTGGCTACGTTCTAGTGGAATTTAGCAAAACGGTCAAATTCCAAAATCCAAATTCCGTTCCAGTAAGTCGAATGGACGCGTTTGCTTCGAGAAGGAAATTTTCTGCTACCTGAAACGCTGAATATTTCTGAAAATAAATGCTACTTTGCAATGTCTAAGCTATATACTAAGGATATGTTGTTTGCAAGGAGTATTTTAATACTTTCACAATACATTAAACTATGCTGTTTTCCGCTCGTAGATGCAGAAATTAGTGTAAAATCTTATTTTTTAGAGTATGATCTCTCGATTTTCGCTGTTTTAGGTCTTTTTAACCTAGTCATGTACTGTACGATAAGGAGATTTCTTTGTCGATACTACATTATCTTATAAGTACCGTCCGGTGCTTACAAAAGTCAAAGAGCAAAATTCCATTAGCAGATTCATTATACATCTTCATATAGAAATGGATCGTGTGGATCTCCATCAATGACCCATAAACTTGTTGATTTCCTGTTAACTCTGATCAATGAGGGTATTTTTCGATCAAGTAGGGCTGATTGTTTACTAATACTTGTTATGATTTCTAATACCCTATACTATATTCTTTCTTGTCAAGATAAAATGAGGGGGCGTTTCGGTGTTCTTCTAGAAAAAGATATAGTATTTGAAGAAATTTACCGTCAGTGGTGGCATATTGGCATCGTTGGAAATATACTGTGCAATTTTGTTAAGTTTTCGTAGTAAACACGAACGATGAATGCAAACGCTCATTCACTAACGTCGCCAGATAATTATTGTGCATGCTGCTTAAATCTGGGCAAACCAAGATCAAGAGTAAATTTTCTTCTTTTAACGGGTATTCCCGAAAGTCCTGAACGTGTTGAAATCCAAAGAAAACTTTGTGATATTGTGTATAAGAAGAATATTGCTGAGAACTTAATTAATCTTAACAGATGTCACAAGGTAATCAAACTAAGAAATCAGCTGGAAAGTTTGAATGATGAAACAAAGACTATCGAAGAAACCGCATCTCCTAGTATGGTTTCCAATCCCGTCGTATCGGTTCCTGAAGTAGAAGTCAAGGACATGACCACATGGTGTTATGGAATATCAAATTTAAGTCTTCTATCATATAGAAAATCGAATGCACAGCTAAAAAAAGATGATGAAACAGAATTTTATAATTATCATAGTATTGACGCCTACAGATGGGATGAACTGAAAAATGATATCCTTAATAAAATCAATTCAAAACCGGAGAACGAAAAGGAAGGTAAGACAAGATCATACAAAATTAGCGTCCTGTACACCATACAGGAAAGATTGAATCAAAGACAACGGACATTAGTAGTGCTGATTTTGTCAAGATCTTAGAACTACTTGCGAAACAGTAAATACTTTCAAACGAGAACATCGGTACAATGCAGGGAACTACTATCGAAACGGAAAGGTCGTGCCGGTTGCCGTTTTTCAAATAACTTTTTAACGAAAGGTCTTAGCGGCCTGCGGTTTTCACCATCGTATAGAGGACACTTAAAGCCATATTTTTATAAGC